AAGAGAGGTAGCACCTTTCATTTTGGCTTTCCCTCCCTGCACAGAGCCTGAGCCCCATCAGAACCACTCACCGCATCTGTGAACAGCTGACCCTGTCCGGCACTGTAAGGCATGACACGGAGCTCTCTTTGCCTGTCACATAGGGTATTTGGACAAGAGTTCATGTGTGCTTTGCTTGCTAAATGCCTGCTGAATAGATAGGAGAAAGAAAGACAATCTGTGTTCCTGAAACAAAAAGCGATTAAGGATACAGCAGCCCCTTAGCACTGCTTTGCCAACTGCATTTTGAGCCAGTGTGATATTTGACACACGTAAGCTAAAATGCAAAAACTCCTGGGTCAATTTTTTTGTAGGCTTGGTTCAGATCCTGTAAACTACCTTCCACATCATAGTCAATGGAGATCCCATTAAAAGGTAAATCTGTGGAGTCCCCACAGACTTGTCCATCCGAGTTCCTAGAGCATGGCTTGGGAGTCTTCATTTTAAAGTCACTCTACTCAGATGATTCCTGTGTGCACTAGAGTTTGTCAAGGACTATGAGAGCAAATAGGCAAGGTGTGGCATGGTTCAGCCTCTGAAGTTTAGGAGACCAGGTCCATAAAACTGCCCCTTACACCTTTCTGAATTTAGGGAAAGTCAGGTGGTTAATAAGCCTTTCACAGAGACTTGTGAAAATGAAACAAGGAAAATGCAAATGTGAAAATAATTATATTTTGAACTAGTGTGGGTGGTTTTAAAATCTTTAAAAATAAACATGGCCTATGAAAACTTTTTGAAAGGAGGTGCTTCTGCAGACCAGGGTCTGGGAGCTGTGTTTCCTGCCCAGTACAGAAGGTGGCCCAGGAGTGGGAACTGTCAGTGGCACAGGCTTTTAACACTCCCAAATCTGTTTTGTCTCCAAAGCCAAGAGAGAGGGAGAAAGAAAACTACCCACCTCAGTGCTCTGGAGCCACATTGCTTTGGTTTTAATCCTGGGAGCATCACTTACTTAGTGTTTGATCTTTCTATCTGCCTCAGTTTGCCTGTCTATAAAATGGGGAGGAAAATTTCCCCTCTCTCTTAGGTGGTTGTGAGGATTGAACACTTGGCAAAGCCCACCTCTGGTCAATGTCCTGAGTGTGTGCATCCCTGTGTGCACCTCTGTCCACACACATGCTTGCTCACACTTCTCTGTTGTCATATCTTGACCTTGCCAGCCCCTCTCTTTATTCCTTAGGACTTGAGCTCCAGAGCTGACAAGGGACGCTAGCTCTAATGTGCGGATAGGCATCTGCAGATGTACATGCCTGATGGGCAGTGGGGTTTCCTTGTGCAGTTGTGGAGCTCACGGGGTCTCCTAGCTTTCCCTCTTGCCATTGCATGTGGACACCTGTCACAGTTTGGTGTGGCCTCTAGCTGTTAGTGAGGGACTGGAGCAAGTTAACTTGTTTCCTTAGATGCCCCTTGCCTTTCTGCCCCCACAGTCTGTCCCTGAGATGCAGGGGCCCTTCTGATTCTGCTCTTGGAGTCAGTGAATGTCATGCCCCTTCCTCTCTGGTGCGCATGGCACCTGCATGCCTCTGCTGTGGTGTGCCCCCCTTGTGCCCACCCTGCTCATTCTCTCCCATGATTTGCCATAATGCTACAAGTTGTGTAGGGTTGTGCTTCTGAAAGACACTTGAGCATCGTCATGGGCCACCTCCTTTTGCACTTGATGTTCTGACTAGAACCGCTCTGATTCCATTGCCTGGTGTCAGCTGCAAGGTTAAGCTGTGAAACAGTCACTGCAGTTCGGCGGGCAGTGGGACTTTGTGGACGTGGATGGTGCCCATTGGTCTGAGGACAGTCTCAGGATATAAGCAGATCACCAAACTATTTCAGAGTTCCAAAGAGAGTCTTACAAGTTTATATGCTTGTGCATTTGCTTCGTGAGGATGGAAAGTCTTTTCTCCCCTTGGCACTGAGGTGATTCATTGAGGTTAGTTTTACTTCCTTTTAAGTAACTTGTCGTTCTTTAATCTGACCTCTGTGTTCACGTGAGACTCCCTTTCTTCTCTAAACAGCTTTCGTTGTGCTGTCACTGTGGTGGTGGTCAGCTTGTTTGTAAACTCCATAATTCATTCACAAAGGCCCCAAACACATTAAATTATGTGTGGTCAGATTCTCTCTCCCACTCCAGTCCCCCCACCCACGGCCACTGAGCTCCTTTCCAACAGACTCCCACTGTATTAGTATTTTCATTTCCTTCCAGATTTATCTTAGGCACATACAAATATATGTTATTTCCCCCTTTTTTAACAGATGGTAGCATACTATATATACAAAATGTTCCGCACCCTGCCTTTTTTCCCCTCAGATATTCACGTGCCTCTTTACATTTATGTATATAAGAAGGTTTCTCATTCTTCTTTATAGCCACACAGTATCCCATCCTATGGGTCTGGCATAATTTATTTAAGTACCTCCTGATTTTGTGATGAAGGTTCTGGACAAGAATGAATAAGTGGAACCCATTTTGACATGATGCAGCTGCTACAAAATCAGAGACTGAACGTGGCCTTGTGTTGCTCAGAAGAGATGTTTCTATAAAATGATACAGAATATGGCCGTGGTCCTTAGTGGAACATCTAACTATGCAAGGGTAGTTTCAGCATCCTAGAATAATCAAGAAGGAGCATTGCATACATTTTTATCAGATTGTTTTTTGAGCTACTGGATCTGAATCTTGGAAGATAATGGAATATGTCTTAAAAGATTATTCTGTGCTCATCTAGATTCATAAGGTTGATAAAGGGAAATAAAGGATTGTTGCCCAGACATTCAGAGTAGGTTGGAAAGTTTTAGGGTCAGGAAAACTTGGATGGGTGATAAATAACCAACTTTTCCTTTTCCATCAGTTCTTGCTTAATAAATGCCTTCATGGGATGGATTTGGGGGTGGAAGGAAGGCATAATGATAGCTTTCTTGAAGACATGGTAGCTGGCACATTATAGCTCATAAATACTTGTTTAATTGAGTGGAAGCATGATCAAAGAGTTTTAAAGTATGGTAAAGACAGCCTTAGAAATACATTAACATACACCTGTATATATACACAGGTATATATATGAAAGCAGCAGCATAGTGCAGTATTTGAATTAACAGAACATTGGAAGATAAAAGTCTAATTAAAGGAGGAATAAGCTTTCCCTTTTTGCTTCCTTTTGAAGCACTACTTTGACCTTGAAAATGTTGTTTGTACCTAGACATAAATTGGGAAATACAAATATACCTAGGAGATGAATTCAGCCTAGTAACAAAATTGTTGAGTAGCTAAGAAACACAAGTTTTTTGAGTCTGAAGATGAGAACTGAGTGTGTGCATCCCTGTGTGCATTCCCTGTGTAATGAGGAAACAGCTCCGCGACTGTCTTCACTGGACCCTCTGGAGACTCCTCCAAGCCAAGAAAAGCCACTTCCACATTTGAAGCTACTTGGAGAGTTCCTTTACCTTTGTTTGTTTTGGACGTCTTGTTTATTTGATTCCTTTGACAAATAGGGTAAGCATTAGTTGAATCTTACAGTAATGAGACAGAAATGATTTTTAGTTATTGAACTGGGTGGAAAAAGAGTCTTTATAAACCTGCTTTCATTCCCTGAGCTTATGTATACTTCACATCATAGGAGAATCAAGCAAAAAGAAATTTAGGATTGCTAGTCATAGTAAATGCTTTGAGAACAAGTCAGAAGTTCAAAGTAACTATACGTGATGGATAAGTATGTGCACACACTGCCAGAGTGTTCAGTGTACCACCGTATAGCCCAGAACACTGGTTTAGCACTAGATTGGAAACCTACATCAGTCAAATAACATAATCTGTTTTACAGTGTCTACTTTATGATGGGAAGCGAAAGGTAGGGAGCCAGTGGAGCTAATATCAGTTAAAATGACCAGGACCATTCTGTCTGCTGGTGTTTGGCTTCACGAAGCCACATTTTGAGGAATGTCATTCCGAATCTATCAGACGCTGTGTGAGGACATGGACGTGTGATGGGTTCTGCTGTGTCATTTTCATCTTGGTTCCCAGTGTGGAACCAAAGCACAATTAAGTGGTCAGAGCCAGTGAGTCACCCTCTATTAATAGAACTCTTATCTTTTGACTCTTAGTTCAAGAGTTTCATCCCTCTAAGTGTTTTTTTTTTGAAAGAGTTATTGATTCAGTATAGAATTTTCTTCTTTTCAGTAATTGCTAGGTTCCAAATTTGTTCTCTCAATAGCCAGAGCTCCTTGAAGCTTTGCTCAAAATATTCAGATATGTCAAACTGTCTCACCTCTATTTCAGTCTCTCCACTGTGCTGCTGACTTATCACCCAGCATTATTAGGATCATGAGATGGGGTGGAGGTTAGGCAGACCCCACTGAAAAGTCATCCTGCATAAATGACTTTTATGTGATGTGGCCAAAGTCCGCAGTCCACAAACTGAGTTCAAAAAAATAACTCCAATCAAACCGATAGACAAACAAGTTCCCTAGGGAAATTGTGTTGTAGGTGTTCACGTCTCATAACCAGCGTTCCCGAGTCTTACCAGTTTCTTGTAACTGGAATGTTGAACATCATTAGTTGAAGGCTGACCTTCCCTTGGTGTTGGGTTACCTTTGCTTGGTGGCTTAATCATGTGCTACCCTAGGTCCTCTAGGCTCCCATCCTAGTGCAGCCATGCTTCCTTATCTCAAAGCTGTCCTTCAGAAAGGAGAGACTTGCTGCCTTTCCAGCTTTTCTGGCTCCAATGCCAGTTGTTCCCAGATTCCTTCCTTCTCATCCTGTTTGCAGTGGGAAGTGTCCCCCTTTCCCAAACTCCCCTTTATGGAGCCCCTTGGACTCCTGCTGCTTTTATTTCAGGCATTTGCATCTGTTGTAAGACTTGTCGGGTTTGTGTCTCACCTTCGGGAGAATGTTTCCTTAGTCTCAGGGAGGCTCCATACTTCCTTTCTTCTTCTGCATCTTTGTTGCTAAGAGTTTTGTTTTTACCTGTTGTCTGCAGGTCTGCAGACTCCTGCTCCCGAGTTCATTGTTGATGTGGAGTCCATGGACATCTTCCCAGTGGGCTGGTGTGAAGCGAACTCTTATCCTTTGACCACACCACACAAAACAGTCTGTGAGTATCATCCAGTTTGGAGCTATGGTGGATAATGTTGAAGATTTGGGTGAATATACAGGCAGTTTAAGTAAGATAGTATAGACACTATGTGAAAAACAAAATAGGTGGTACATGGCACACAGAACACCATTAGTTCGAGTACGTGAGTTGTCCCTCCTTTACATGTCTGCATGAGTTGAATGTCTGGAAACATTTTACAAGTTGACAAACTAAGTCATAGTGTTGAGGCAGTTGAAGGTTCCAGACAGGCAGAGATCAAGTATCTGGAATCTTCACTCCCAGTTTTGCATGTACTTCATTATTTTGATTTGAGAAAATTTAAGCTAATGTTTGTATTTTTGTAACTATAGTTTTGTATTATGTCTGAGAGAGAACTAATTTTTCTCACGAGGTTTACCCCAAGAGAATCATAATTGGTCCCCAATTGACACATATAAACACTTACCTACTCTTACCAGTAACTAACCACTGAGATTTCAGCTGTACCTTGAAAAGTACATTATATCACATCATTCTTTTTTATTGAGATATAGTTGATATCATATTTAACCAATAATCAATATTATGTTGGTTTCAGATATACAACATAGTGATTCAACAGTTGTATACATTACTAAATGTGCACCGTGATAGTGTAGTTACCATCTGTCAACATACAAAGAAATTACAATACAACTGGCTGTATTCCCTGTGGTATATATTCTTCCATCCCTGTGACTAATTTATTTTGTAATTTGGAGTTTGTACCTCTTTATCCCTGTCACCTGTCTCACCCATCCTTCCACCCCTCCCTTCCATGGCAATCCCCAGTACATTTTTTGGGTAATCACACTTACAACAATTTATTTTACCATATGTGTTCATGTGAGATGTATGTATGCTCATTTTCTTACTAAAAGCACATTTTAGAATAAAGTGGCCAGTATCGTGGTAAGATTAGATGTACTAAATCCTATTTAGACCTCATTTCTGATGAGTCAATTTATGCTAGAAGAAATTAAGATAAAATTGGGGCATATATGAAATAACTTTTTAGTCTGTAAATTGTTACTTTAAAACTGACACAGCCATTTTTTAAAAATGCCAACTAGCTGACAAAGCTGATTCTCTTTTTGTCCTTTTTGCCTGTTGTACAGCACAAAAGAAGAGAAAGATTGCAGTTGTGCAACCGGAAAAACAGTAAGTTTATTTTATTTTCCAAAAACTGCATGGTAGACAAGAGTGTCTTCCTAGAGGATGGGAAGCATGGCTGTTTTAGAGTTAGTTAACACTGAACTTAGTAGTAAAAGTGAGGGGAAGATATATCTACTGTGAAGTATTGTGCATCTAGTATGTGCAGGATGCCCTGCTTCTAAAGGACTTTCTACTGCAGGTTGTAGTTTCTCATACGTTCACTCCACCTCAGCACACCTGGGGGACACATGAGGCTTGCACGTTGATTGTGCTGGCTGTCCATGATGCCCCCAGCTGGCGCAGAGCTCCCCCGCCCCACTTCCCCACAGCAGGCTCGCAGCCAGGCCTGGCAGGTGGCAGGGGTGGGGGCCTTCCACTGGCACCAGCCCTGGTAGCTCCCAGCTGGGTGTACTTGAGGGACCTGCTTCAATTGTCTGTATCTCAACACCCTCATTTGTGAAATACCTATTTCTCAGGGTTTTGATGAAGATTAGATTTTGTGTGGAAAAAATTTGTGGGTCCTACATTGTTGAATAAATGTAGGTTACCCTGTTTGGACTATACTTTTATGGGGAGAGGGAGGGAGTCCTGGCAGCATGTGTACATGCAGGCAGGATGTTTGTGAAAAAAGTAACTGTTAGTAGTAACATTTTCGTATATTGAAAAATATCTAAAATGCACTCTAATACACATCCCTTGCCAAATTATTCTTTCTTAATAAAAATATACTGATGGAAAGGGAATCGGAAACAGCATTTTGTCTATGTCCATGCTTAAATTTAAATAGAACCAAACTGAATAATAACCGCATTTCCATTTGAATGTAAGTTTTGTGGTACTTTTTGTACATTCATTCCTAAACACAGTGTATCAGATTAATAATCTGACTCCAGTTTTATCTGGATAACATTGAGATACAGAATAATAAAATAGTAGTCCCATCATTGAACCCAAATTTGCATTCTTAACTCCTAAATTTGCAGTCCGTGAATCAGTGGTCTCACCCTTCACTTAACTCAGTCACCTAGCCAGCTTGCAAAAACACAGAATGCTGGGCCCTGTCTCCAAAATCTCTGACTGAGGGTGTCTTTGGTGGCGCCTGAGCATCTGTGCATCTAAAGACATCCCAGATGGTGATGATTTGCCAGTTTGGGGGTCTCACTTTGAGAACCAGTGCTGTAAATGACCCTACTAAGAGCTCTTGGTTACTTTGAGTTTATGTCATCTGTCAACTGTGTGATTTCTATGCATTCAACCTGGATACCCCTGTGAAAACTCAGTTCACCTCTTTTCCCCTAAGGCTACATTTTTTTGATATTAATTCAGCAACTTTTTACTGAATTAGCACAAAGCTTACTACATGCTTCAAGTTCTGTCATAGTCGCTTAAGTTAGGAAAAGACGTTGGAAGTGTACTACCTTCTTCTAAAGTGCATGACCCATGATAGTTTTATTTTCTTTATCAACAGATTGCCGTCCACAGTGCCTGTTGAGAAAATACCTCATGACCTTTGCTTATTCCCTCACCTGGAAACCACAGGTAAATGAGCCCATTTACGGCTTTCTGTCCCTTCCCAGGTTGTGAATGGGGAACATGCATATGTTTTTAGGTGAGCATGAGAACATCTCAATTTTGAATCTATTCCTTTTTTCTAGTGCTACTTACAAACAGATACCTGCCCCCACCCCATTTTTTTGAATCTTGTAAGCTAAATTCTCTGTGCCCCTTTTCTGCTTCTTGCTAAGTACTCTAAAGAATTCTCTTGGTCTGCAGAAAAGGTCCATGTGTTACTTGGAAATTATGAGCCTAATCAGAGCTATACATCACTGATGATCATGTGGAAAAGGAAAGAGTTGAAAATATTATTAGACGTTCCTTTTTTAGCATTTTATATCAGTTCCACTTACATTTTTCCATGAGTGGTTAATACATAAGTCCCTGTGGGCTTTTGAATTGTTCCTTAAAAACCCTCTGTGTTTGAATAGCTGATTGTGAATAATATGTTTTTTAATGTATGAAGTTCTACGTCTTACAATAAGTTTTGAAAACACAAATGTGAATTACTCTTTGACCATAAATCTGTTTATAGATATGTTTGCACATTAAGTAATACTTTGATTAAGGATTTTATTTTCTAGCAAAATGAAACCTGCTCTGAGTCTAGGATTAATACCTATATGCCATGGGAGAATCCTATTAGTCGAAGTTATCTTTGACTGAAAAGAGAGCAATTTTTTAAGTAGACATACTAAAATTGTTTTTTCTAAAGATCTGGGCAAGGAAATCCTTACCAAAATTTGGGTGTAAATGCAGCTGTGGACTTAATTTTTTTGCCTGTTGTATAGAATTCAAACTACAGAATGGTTTTAAAAGAACCGTGTGAGCTATGCTTTTAGAGTCTGTAATTGTTATTTCACTCCTTTTGTCTTATACCCAGAAATATAACATTTCTCCTTCTTCAGCTGCTGGTTCCTAGTTGAAGTCCTATGAGGACAAGCCTTCCTGGGCTGTTAAATTACCATCCCAAATGAATAACTGTTTTTATAGAAATACCACTGTGTAGCTTAGCTGGGAGCAGCGTGGGAGACGGCAAGTGTCTTGGCTGAAAGTGAAACCTCATTCTATTTATAGACATCAAGAAGCTTTAGGGTGCTAGCTTGCCATTTGTTCTACTTTCTCCCTTCAGCAGCTTGAGACATAACTAGGCACCAGCTTGCCCTGTTCACTTTCTAAGTCAAAAGCATAATGGAGACAGTGTAAATTTAAGGCACTGTGAGGTTCATGTCACACCCACCAGATGACAGAAGGAAGAAGCCCTCCAGCGTGTGGGGCAGCAGGACCTCTTCCATCATGTGGATGGGAGTGTGTGTTGAGATAGTCCCTGTAGGAACATGCTGCGTGTCTAGGAAAACTAAAGATAAGCAGACCCCATGGCTGAGCAGTCCCACTCCTTGTGATATACTTGGGGGACTCTCTTGCCCATAGTCCAAGTAGATCTTTACAGTTGTATTCTTTAAATCACTGTTGGGCACGTTGGGCAAGAGGAAACAACTAAGTGTGATCAAGAAGAGAGACAGGAAGCCCAACTATGATGTATGTATGTAATGTCATCTTGTACAGAAGTGAAAAATGTGTATGAATGTTCTGAGTATTCGCTTACCAATTTGGATGGATCTCAGAAAGTTCCTACTGTACAAACAAAAGTGTTGCAGAAAACCACTTATGAAATAATTTTAAAATATCCATAATGGCCTATATTGCTTGTTGACACACACGTACATATGTGGGTGGTAATGTTTATAGACTTGCATGGGCATGATAGATGCCAGATTCCAAGTGGTGGGAAGGGAAGGTGGGGTTTCGTAAGTTAACATGCAGTGGGACTTAGCTGTGAGGCCAGAGGGTGTTTCCTTAGCTGCCTAGTGACAACCAAGTTGTCAGTGTCTTAGTTTTTGCATCTTTTGGTGTGTCTTGAATCCTGCATAATAAACAGAAAAGTTAATTTGTATGGCAGGAAAAATAATCAGAATTTTTAAGGTATCATTGTGGCTATAAAACTTCTTGATGTTAAGACAGTCCATTTCTGGGCAGTTATACCAGCTAAGTGGCTAAGCAAGTGTTGTGTGGTTTATAAGGTATCAGCTGTGTTGCTCTTCCCCGCAGGTACCGCCAACGGGAAATACTGCTGTCCTCAGCTCTTCATCAACCACAGGTGTTTCTCAGGCCCTTACCTCAACAAAGGTAGAATCGCAGAGCTACCTCAGTCAGTGGGACCAGGCAAATGCGTGCTGGTTCTTAAGGAGGTAAAGCTCATTCTCAGTCATCACCGACTTACTGTCACAGGGTGTTAAGATACAGGTGCGGTTTCTGAAGGAGGTAATTGGCATTTGAATCAGTTCAGGTGGCATTTACAAACATCTGCCTTCTCCGTCCTGTGGCAGGGAGCTGATCTTACCAAGGTGAAAGGAAATGGGGTTCCTGCCCATGGAATGCTCAGAGATGGTGGGAGGGATGTGTTTCTCCCCCAATTCAGGGGAAAAGATTGTACTGGATGTAAATACAGAGCTTTGGGGAGGCAGAGGAAGGATCCTTGTGTGCAGAGTGGTTTCTTGGAAAAGGTAAGTAAACCTGGAAGGCAAAAATGGGCCTCTGGAGCCAGTAGAGAGTGTGGTTAAGAGTGGACACTCACAGGATGGGTTGAGTGGCTCTTACTGCTCGTGCGCGGCTCTGAGACTGGCACCTGCACGCAGCAGGCATGCGGTCAGTGCTCTGAGGGGACCAGCTGCTTGCAGGAGGTTTGTTCGTGGGCTGCGTCCAGGCCAGCCCAGGCTGCTCATTGTTTTGACGGTATTGTTCCCCATTTCTCTCCTGCCTTTGGGAGACGACCTGTAGACAGAGGCGGATCCTCATTACGCTGATGGAGGGTTTCCTCTCTGTTACAGTTTTATGGCTTAGCCCCAGGCAGTGTTTGGAGATGGACTGGAATTCTGGAACCATTTCCGAACTGCTCTTGGAACTCTCTCTGCTTTTTTCACACACGTCAGTTCTTTCTCTTAAGAAAGAGGACATCACATAAATCTTC